AATCTAAGCACGTATCATGTCAAAAGCTGCAATTTTTGAAGGAAGAAGTTAAAAACTTTCAAAATTAACACGTGCAAGATTTTTATACTTCTATTTCAGAGAAAGAACAACACAGCCGACAATAAGTAAGATATCATATTTAGCTTAAAAAAAGAAAAACATATGTATTGGATTAGCGGTTGTGCGCACACAAGAGAGAGAGAGAGAGAGAGAGAGAGAGAGAGAGAGAGAGAGCGTGTGTGTGTTTGTGTTTGTGTGTGTGTCTGTGTGCGTGCCCGCGTCCGCGACGCGTATTTGGATTGAAATTAAGTAGTCGGCTGGCCGAGGATTGCCTCTCGAAGGACTAGACAAAGTCTTGTAAAACTAACACATCTTATAGGTTAAAGAGTGATAAAGAAACCTGGATTGTTTACAACCCTTCCTTTTATAGTCCTGAATAGAACGCCAACTAGCGGTGTTAAGCGAAGACCATTAGCAGGCAACGTGGGACATTACCATACACATATAGGTTTGATGTGATCCCTTAAATGTAATGAAATTGTACCGCCTGTATCTTTAATATTGAGGAAATTAAAACACATATTCAAGGGTATTGCAATTTGATTTCCTGTCAGTGTATATAGATGCATATTCATTTCAACATCGTATGTTTAGGCAGCAATCCTTCTTTCTAGCATGAGTCATTAAACAGAATGGCCAAAGAATGTCTGCTAAGCCTTTTAATGAGTTTTTCGTAGTGTTGAATTTAATGTCAGGTGCAACCTTGTAAAAGAGATTGTGTGTTATATTTTCGACCATCTTGTGTCGTTTTCAAAGCAGAGAAAGATAGAAAGGTTATAAATAGCCAGTTTAAATGTTTATGTTTTTAACATTTCAAACTTTGTAATGAACGTGTGCTCACGTGCTGTAACTATGAAAGAGCGTTTCTGCATATCGACAGTGTGGATATCGCATCAGTGCGATCTTCGGCCCGATTGCCACTAATTCCTTAAGAGGTTTTATATATAGGTTACAATTAAATTCTAAATATTAAATTATAAATAAATCAATAAGCAATCTAAAAATTGATGACTATAAATAAAACCACGCTAGAGAAGAAAAGAACTGGGATGGCCAGTTTCCTCCCCGCACCTAATTCACCTTAATCAACCAATGACCTATATATACTGAAATAATGTCGGATAAAAATTAATTCATATATATATATATATATATATATATATATATATATATATATATATATATATATATATATATGAATGAATTATCACACATTGAGTGGTAGTGCTAATAAAACCTGATGATTGCATCGTGCAAAAAACACAGAACTCTACCATCGTTGAAAAAAATCTATATTTATTATTATTATTATTGTTAACAGCAGTAATATATATATATATGTGTGTGTGTGTGTGTATGGGATAACAGTATAGTTTTATGGTCCGCTATATTTATAGGTAAAATTGGTTAATATCAGTCATAGAGCGTATATAAATGTAAAATTGGATACTGTAGTCAACACTAAGGGAGGTAGTCTGTTTTGTGCTTGAACGTAATTTTCAGACCACCCTGAACTTTGCGTGCAGGCATGAGACGACTGTAGCCGTTTCATTTTGACCCGTCCAATTTTACACACACACACACACACACACACACATATATATATATGGTGGACTCTCCCGTCGTATTCGAAGTATGAGGTTCAAGCAGCTCTTAGGAACCGACATCCCAGACACCAGCACATACGATTTGATTATAGTGGGGAAGGCTTTGTGCAGAACAAACCACACTTTTTGAAGGGCTGAATAGAGAGTCCTGGTGCACTAAGTGCTACAGGGCCCGCAAAAGATCCTCCGAATTCAGAGTTGTCCTCCTCCTAGACCAGTTGGCATCCAAGACTCTAGAACCCAGTCTGTCCTGCTATTTACCCATAGCTGGAAGGAGAAGTGTATTACTACCTTTCCCAAGTTTATTAACACGATGGATTCGACTGGAATTCGAACTCGGCCCTCCCATTTCCCAATCCGAGCCGCTATTCACTACTCCACTATTTAACAGCAAAATTGTCTGATTGTTAGGTGAAGATTTGAACCGTTGTTATCTTAGATTTGATTAAAGATATTTTAATGAAATTCTCGGAGGTTTTTATAACACTATTGGACTCTACTTTGAATTAAATGTATTTAGCTCTAATACTGATCGAGCCAGGTCAGTACCTATATGAGTGATACATAGGTACTAACTTGGCTCGATTTTGTTTAACTTCGGTGATCATATGGGAACCTGTAAGCCTGTACTAAAAAGGATAGCCACGGTAGCAGCAGAAGTACTCATCAACAGGCAATGTTTAAGGTTCCAGGTTCTTCACTCAAAATTGTCCCTTAAGAGTGTTGGTTTGTGAATTTGAATGATGTGGTAATTACGAGTTCAATCCCTGGACTGGACAGTGTGTACTTGACCTCAGTGGAAATGGGAAACTGAACAGTAATAAATAAGAACTAAATAAGGTATCCATGGAAATGGGCAACGGAACGAGAACAATCTACCTCAGTTATTTGATAAAGGGTTCTGATCGGAATTCCTTTAAGGTTATCCAGATCAAAAATAAACCAATGAAAGTCGAAGATGGGGTCATGTCAAAAATCTATCAGAAATTCACATAGAATGTTATTTTTGTTGATATAGCAGGAGGTGACAACACAACCGCAAGTGTTAAACGCTTTCATTCGGCAATTACAAACGTCTGCAACGGCAATAATTATTACCTTGTGGACTAGAGCGTCAAAAGTTACGTTTACTGTCTTTAATTTTAAGAAGAGCAGTTATTTCGCGTCTGGTGCTGTTTAGATGTTTGAACCTGTTATTTTTGTTGCGTATTTTCTTAAGACATTGTTTTGGCCAAATTGCGACGTTTGTAAGTAGAAAATTCAGAAGAAAAGGCGAGAGATGTGTCATTCATTTTTATTAAATTCCTTGTGGAATATAACGAGTCATAAAAAATAGATAGATTCCTAGGCATGATAGTTGTAACGTTCAAACAATTTCAATATAAGACGTCACATTACCAGCGGACTAATCCCATACGAGAACATCCGTTCGCACATGCGTAGTAACGTCTCTCTTTGATTCTTCTTTTATGTGTCGTGTGTCCATTCAGAACATAGGCTATCGTCGTCCTCGAAATCTTTCTGTCTCTTGGAACTCTTAAGATTTTTTATTTCTCCTAAACCCTGTTCTGCCATCCACTTTTCATCTATCCTTCTTTCCCTCTATCTATCCCGCGGGTATCAAATTTTCCAAGCCCTCCTTCCTAATTATGAGCTCCAGAAATTTCAACTGCGTCCTTCTGATATTAAGTATAAGCTTTCTATTTGTTTTCATTCTTTCCAAAACCTTGTCGATGCTCACAGGTTCGGTCCATGTTATCCACACCATATCCCACACCTCTCTTTTTGACTCCGGTCTGCACGTGCATATATGTATGCATATATGTTTGTGTATGGGAATATATATATATATATATATATATATATATATATGATTCGAAGGTTTGAATAACTTTATATATATGTAAATATGTACGCTATTGTCGGAGTATCGGCGACTAAACCCGCTACCCGATTCGAAATTCTGGCGAGCGAGGTGGTTTGATAGCAACTCAGTCGGAGGCAAATAAAAACTATCAAATGACGGAAGAACTCTCGACAAGTCAACGGTCAGCTAACTAGAGGCGGCGTCTCAATAAATCACTGTGGAGAAGGCAACGGGAAAACCACTTATCAATCCTAAGTAAGATCATTGCAATTACACCTTTGTGCAAATTAATTGAAACAATTTTTTTAATTCCGTAATTTTTAATTTGTTTCTTGTTTTGGAACATGACCCAGTGCACATCTCAGCACTCCGTATGTCCATTCCACGAAGCCGTTCCTTGCAGATTGACCACAGATTCTCGATTGGATTTAAATCAGGAGAGATTCCGGGCTAGTCTATAGTACTTTGATTTGCTCGTCGAAGACTAAAGTACACAACGCTTTATATATGGCGTATATATCAATGTTTGAATTTGATGCATTAATTGTAGATAAGTTGCACACTCAATGAACTGACCACTAATAATGAATTGATTTGTCCTGTGTCCTAGTTACCAAGTGTTGTTCTTTGTTGTTATTAGATGTAGGCGTAAGATCTCCGTTAGCTGCAGCCGTGTTGGCCCTTTAGAAAATTGCAAATGGCTGCTATCGGAACAATATAACTTTCGTAAAAATATGGCGGTCCCAATACAATAATCACTTCCGTTAAAAAGGAAGTCTTCTCTCTTTATATCCAGTCAAGATGTGAATCGTCGAAGACCAAAGTACACAACGCTCTATATATGCCGTATATGGCAATGTTTGAATTTGATGTAAATAGTGGTTGAAGCGAAAAAAAAAAAAAAGAAAGAAAAATGATAATTGTCTGCTAAAGTACACCTACGTGCGTAATATTGAACTAATTTCTATTCTTTGTGGAAATTTTCCTCTCCTATTAAAATAATTACTAATTGGAGATGTCATCATAAAGCAGGTTCAGAAGTTTCAATATCTGTGAAGTGTTTTAACAGGGTGGAAAATACGACGCCGAAATCTGAAGACGTATTGGAATAGTAAAAGATGTCTTTAAAAAAGTTAATCGAAGTATTAAGCAACAGGAAAATTTGTTAGAAACAAAGAAAAGATTACTGAACAATTATGTAATATCAGAGTCTTCTTGTATGTCAATGGATGCTGAACAATCTCTCCATAGATGAAAAGAAAACTGGAGGTGACAAAAATGGTTTTCTAAAAAATAATGCCCAAAAAACCATGGACGGAGAACGTGGGCAATGAAGAAGGCTTAAGAAAAAAGAAAACAAAATGGATACTTTTACTTTGACCTAGAAAGAAAAAGCTGAAAATTCTGATTTGGTTTGATTTGTTTTACGGTATATCAACCTCAATGAGTTATTTAATGACGACAAGATTTTTATTGCTGGTAATATTTTTATCTATCTATCTATCTATCTATCTATCTATCTATCTATCTATCTATCTCAGTATATATTGGTTAGCTTTGTTTTGCTTTACGGCATATCAGCCTCAATGGGTTATTTAATGCCGACAAGATTTTTATTGCTGGTAATATTTTTATCTATCTATCTATCTATCTCAGTATATATTGGTTAGCTTTGTTTTGCTTTACAGCATATCAACCTCAATGGGTTATTTAATGCCGACAAGATTTTTATTGCTGGTAATATTTTTATCTATCTATCTATCTATCTATCTATCTATCTATCTATCTATCTATCTATCTCAGTATATATTGGTTAGCTTTGTTTTTGCTTTTTACGGCATATCAACCTCAATGGGTTATTTAATGCCGACAAGATGCTGGTAATATTTTTATCTATCTATCTATCTATCTATCTATCTATCTATTTTTTTTTTTACGGCATATCAACCTCAATGGGTTATTTAATGCCGACAAGATTTTTATTGCTGGTAATATTTTTTTTCTATCTATCTATCTATCTATCTATCTATCTATCTATCTATCTATCTATCTCAGTATATATTGGTTTGTTTTGTTTTGCTTCCTCTGATTATTCTTATAAGAATAATTCTCGATTTAAATCAGGAGAGATTCCGGGCCAGTCTATAGTACTATGATTTGCTCACTGATAAGGTTTCCCAGTGTGTTCGTGCAGCGTTACAAATTTTCTTACGCTTCCATAGAGTAACTTTCATCGCAGACAATATCCGTAGGACAACTAATCGACAGTCAGGACAAAAGTGTCTGCGCGGGATAAAAATCTGATACAATCACGGATGACGCCATATTTTTCAAGGCCAAACAAATTTCATCATATACCCCTGAAACATATATTACTGTTCACCACTGCAAATGACCTAATTTGAGGAAAAAAATAGAAGTCGATTACACTCTGTCACTCCAGTGGATCAAGTCAAGACCTTTTTGCTGTCGTATTATGACACGAAAACTTATCTTTCGATGATCGGAGCAGTGAGTTAGTAGCAGGCAAAATCTTTTTAGTTGGCGTAAAAAAGACGTGTATATAGTTCTAAGTTTATGATGCACAATGAAACATAGGACTTACCCTGTCTTCTTCGGATCCCAGAGGGGTTCCTGGAATATCCAGTATGGCATCGGAAGCTGTACCTGACACTGTCTCTGATATTGTTTTGATTCTGTCACTATTTGTTATCAGCTCGTCAGCAATGGCTTCATTTTTGCCCTCGTTTAAAGAGAAATCAATGCTTTTAACATCCCGGGTTGCCAGAGGAGCCGTATGTGTTTTCGGTTCCTCTTCAGACCACACCATCGAGCCGACCTGCCCTTGATTTGTAGGATTTGGTTCGGAATTCCTAGAAAAATAACCGCTACTATGACGTCGTGGTTGCAATTGAGGTGTTTGGAGCTGCTGTGTTTTATGTTGAAATGACTGGTCCAAATCGGGGTGTTTGGTTTCAAGTTCAGTCTCCACCACATTTGGAATATCACTGATTGGGCTGCTGGCGTCAGGATCCGTTTTATTCGACGTCTTGCATCGCTGTGACATCTTCTTTTTCAGTTCATTTTTTTTCTCATGCGGCAACCGAATACGGGACTGCGCGTGCGAATAATAAAGGGTAAAGTTGTTGACGACAATCGGCACCGTGAAGGCTACAGTCAAGACACCGCAGAGGGCGCAAATAGAGCCGACCACATAACCAAATTCAGTTTTGGGAACTTTATCTCCGTAGCCGACTGTCGTCATTGTAACAAGAGCCCACCAGAAGCCGATCGGAATGCTGGCGAACGTCTCCTCTTCTACATGGTAGATGACGCAGGCAAAAATCAGCACACCGGTGAAGAGGAATATGATGAGAAGAAATAATTCGCGTGTGCTCACTTTGATGGTGTAAGCAAGGATCTTGAAGGCGCTGTAGTGTTTCATGAGTTTGAAGATTCGAAGAATACGAATGATTCGCATAACGATGAAGATCTTGAGTAGGGTGCCGATATCGCCAAAACTCTGGAGGGTGATGGAGATAAAATGTGGTAATAGGCACATAATGTCGACAATGTTCAGAAAGGAACGCATGAATTCTAGCTTTTTGGGGGTGACACTGAACCGGAGCAAAAATTCCAGTGAGAAATAAGCGACACAAATGTAGTCGAGGTAGACCATCGCTGGGTGTGGGACGGTGTGTCTCTTGGTGATTTTCTTGAATGTCACCGTACAGATGTTGCCGTTGCTGCTGCAAGAGCAAGTTGTCTCATTCATCTCTTTGTTGGTCTGTCCATTGGCCGTGACACGAAACCATTCGTGCGTCTCCAAACAATAGACACCAATGGAAATGAAGACGAAGCACATTGAGATAATGGCCTGGATCTGAAGATTAACAAGAAAAATGAAGAACATAGTTTTATCATTGTAATGAGACTTGATTTAGTACTTTTCAATTTATAAAATACAGAATGTAAATAATTGACAATATTTTTTTGTTTCTTTCTTTCTTTGTTTCTGTCTTAGTCCTAAGCCCTACCAGTTTTCTTTCTTTCTTTCTTTCTTTCTTTCTTATTGCCACAACAGTTTTCTTTCTTTCTTTCTTTCGTTCTTTCACAACATCCTTACCTCAATGAGTTTTCTTTCTTTCTTTCGTCCAGTAAACAGTCTTTGTTTGTTTGTTTTTTAGTTTCTTTCTTTCTTTCTTTCTTTCTTTCTTTCTTTCTTTGTCTACAACATCCTTAGCTCGACCAGTTTTCTGTCTTTCTTATTACCACAAAGGCTTTCTTTTTCTTTCTTTCTTTCTTTCTTTTTTTCTTTCTTTCTTTCTTTCTTTCTTTCTTTCTTTTATTTTCCACAACATCCTTAGCTCTACCAGTTTTCTGTCTTTCTTATTGCCACAACAGTTTTCTTTCTTTCTTTCTTTCTTTCTTTCTTTCTTTCTTTCTTTCTTTCTTTTATTTTCCACAACATCCTTAGCTCTACCAGTTTTCTGTCTTTCTTATTGCCACAACAGTTTTCTTTCTTTCTTTCTTTCTTTCTTTCTTTCTTTGATATGTCAGTTCTGTCCTTCTATATTTCCACAACACCCTTATCTAAGTTTTCAATGTGTCTTCCTGTCAACGTTCTTTCTTTCTTTCTTTCTTTCTTTCTTTCTTTCTTTCTTTCACAACATCCTTAGCTCTATGAATTTTCTTTCTTTCTTTCGTCCAGTAAACAGTCTTTCTTTCTTTCTTTCTTTCTTAGGTTTATAAATTCTTTCTTTTAGTCAGGTTAAGTTTTTATTTCTGTATGTCTACAATTTATCTCGTTGCATAAGACTAATATAAAATCAGTTAACATTAGTAAAATTTGAACGGCCTTCTTTTAAAAATCAGGTTGTGGTTTTGTCGACTGTCGTTTTTGAATTCGGTCATCATTAGTAATGTTTTCCTTTCTTTTTTCTTTCTGAGATTATTTTTTCTTTCATGATTTCTTTCCGTTTACGAAACAGAAAAATTCTTTCTTTCTTTCTTTACTTCTTTGTCCTTAGCTTTATAAGTTTTTCTTTCTTTCTTTCTTTCTTTCTTTCTTTCTTTCTTTCTTTCTTTCTTTCTCATATATAGCAGGGAATTCTAAACGATTTCCTCATTTGAAGAGTAGACGTGAGGCAAAAAAAACTGTGGTTCTACTGAAGGATGCTGATAATACCACCGACAGAGCATGTGAGCAACGAGCAAAGGCAAATGGAAGCAAAAAACGGACACTCAGAATGAGAAGGAATTGAAATTTCTGTGATATATAATGAGGAAAGAGGGCTGGAGAATTTTGACACTCACAAGACATATTGAAGGTGAGTAGGGAAACATCAAGTAACCTTGCTGAGTAAATGTATGGCGGAACAGGTAGCGGGAGGTTTAGCTAAATAAAAAAAAACATTGCAAAGTATAGCCATAGAAGAAGAAAAAGTATGTCGGAGAAGAAGAAGGCGAGAAAAAGATGAATGAGGGATAAAAAGAAGGAAAGAAGAAAAATATTAAAAAAAAGACGACGAAGAAAAACACAAACGTGAGAAAACAAAGACGTGTAAAAAGAGGACAGAGAAGTAAAGAAGACAAAGACGGAAAAAAAGAAAGAGAAAGAATGAAATCAACAAAGAAGAAAATGAAGGACGAAAAAGACAGCAACAAAGATTTTGAAGTTAATGAGAGAAAGTGAAAAACAAAACAACAATGGCAACAATAGTTGCTAAAACCAAAACAAACAAAATTAAGATGAGTTCAATGTCAGATCTCACCTTAGCGCCAAGGGACGAATCAGGTACCTCCATGAACCGACATATTTTGTCAACAATACGTTTTGTCTTACTTCGTTTTTCGTCTGTAATGTTCCAGTTTCTCTCTTTCGTAAAATTGTCATCTAAAGCCATCAGCATTTCACGGTTGTCTTTAAATTTGCTGTAATCTCCCCAACAGCATGGTTCGATGTCTAACTCCGTCAGACCCCAAAACTCAAGTTCCTGTAAGATAGAAAAGTAATGACAAAATTAGCCTAAACTTCAAGGGCATGTTACATGATTAAATGTTACATGATTCTAACTCTAATATTTTTGTGTGCTGTAGTTTTTTTTTTCAATTTTCACTGAAGAATGATACAAGCATTACGTAGCAAAGTGTCGAAAAAATTATCTTGACCAAAGATAAGGAACCCTGGATTCTCAAAACCGAGGCATGCAGAAAAAATATTTAAAGAAAGAGAGTAAAGGAATTGTTATGGATTAGCAACTCCTGAAACAGACCATTGGCTGTGGAAAGGATATGGTAGTAATAGCAGCATCCACCGTCCGTTTAAATAAGCTTAGATGTGGCACAAAGCCGAAAGTAGGGGGCACCCAGTGAGGATCGAACTCACTACTCAGTCGTAAATGTTCTAGCGAGACAAGCTTGCTAATCATTACACCGCCTCGAGGTGCCCTGTTTCAAATATAGATATGTGGAATCCTTGGTCGACAGAAGGCGTATGTTTCCGCAATGAAACCTTTGTTATTTTATTTCTGTGGAATCAATGTTACATCCTATTTAACTCTTTGTTTAATGTATTAAAACCTTTCTTTTTCGTCTTGAAATGTGTGTGTCTGTGTGTTCTTGACAATAGGGCACGGGGTCATCGTGGATTTTGCTAATACTTTTGAAGTATTTCCAATTGTGCTCACATAATGATTTAGCACTTTTTGTGGAGTTTGATGACAGATTTCTTGGTCATAAAACGTGCGACACTTTCGGAGTTGTATAAATGTTTGATTATTTGTTCAATTGGCAAGTGTCCAGGACATTTCCGTGACCCGATTCCCAACGAAGTGATCATAAAGAAGTATATACACCCTTGTACAAACTAATTGAAACAACCGCTTTAGTTTCCTTTCTTTCAACATACGGTCAGTGACAGGGTGTAATCGATTACTATTTTTTCCTCAGATTAGGTCATTTGCAGTGGTGTGCAGTAGTATGAACCTATTTTCGGAGTGTATACTGACATTTGTTTGTCTTTGAAAAATATTGCGTCATAAGTGATTGCATCATATTTTTTATCACGCCCAGAGACTATTGTTTCGACTGTCGATTAGTTGTTCTACGGCCATTGTCTGCAATGGACGTTACTCTATGGAAGCGTATGAAAATTGCAACGCTGCACAAACAATCTGGTAAGCCTTGCCAGTGAGCAAAACAAAGTACTATAGACTGGCCGGGAAACTCTCCTGATTTAAATTCAATCGAGAATCTGTGGTCAATATGCAAGGAGCGACTTCGTGGAATGGACATAGGAAGTACTAACATGTGCACTGGGTCATGTTACATTGGAGAAATGTGAAAAATAGTAAATAATAGCGGAATTATTCGTTTTGTTTAAATAAATTTACATAAGGTATACGTATTGGTGCAAAAATAATTTCAATATTGTTTTAATTTGTATTATAAATGTCACTGATTAAAATTATAAAAAAAAGTCTATTTCATAGCTTATCACAATGTTTTCAATGCGATGGATGACTTTGGTGCTTACTAGCTAAAGCTCTTACTCTAGGTTCATTTGATTGTTTATCTCAATGTTTCCAATACGAATGTTGACTTTGGTTCTTACTGGCTAAGTTTCTAACTAAATAGATTTGATTGCTTATCTCAATGTTTTGGTGCTTATCTGCTAAGGCTCTTACTCTGGGATCATTTGATAGCTTATCTCAATGTTTTCAAAGCGATGGTTGATTTTGGTGCTTATTAGCTAGGGCTCTTTCTCTATTTCCATTTGATAGCTTATCTCAATGTTTTCAAAGCGATGGTTGATTTTGGTGCTTATTAGCTAGGGCTCTTTCTCTATTTCCATTTGATAGCTTATCTCAATGTTTTCAAAGCGATGGTTGATTTTGGTGCTTATTAGCTAGGGCTCTTTCTCTATTTCCATTTGATAGCTTATCTCAATGTTTTCAAAGCGATGGTTGATTTTGGTGCTTATTAGCTAGGGCTCTTTCTCTATTTCCATTTGATAGCTTATCTCAATGTTTTCAAAGCGATGGTTGAATTTGGTGCTTATTAGCTAAGGCTCTTTCTCTATTTCCATTTGATAGCTTATCTCAATGTTTTCAATGCGATGGTTGAGTTTACTGCTTACTGGCTAAATATCTTACTCTAGGTTGATTTGATTCCTTATCTCAATGTTTTGAAAGTGATAGTTGACTGTGGTGCTTCTTTGCTAAAGCTCTTACTCTAGATCCATATGATTGCTTATCTCAATGTTTTCAATGAGATGGTTGACTTTGGTGCTTATTGGCTAAGGTTCTTACTCTAGGTTCATTTGATTGCTTATCTCAATGCGATGGTTGACTTTGGTGATGATTTGCTAAGGCTCTTACTCTAGGTTCATTTGATAGCTTATCTTAATGTTTTCAGCGCAATTGTTGACTTTGGTGTTTATTGGCCTAAGGCTCTTATTCTAAGATCATTTGATAGCTTATATCAATATTTTGAAAGTGACTGTTGACTTTGTTCTTATTAGCTAAGGCTCTTACTCTAGGTTCATTTGATATATTATCTCAATGTTTTCAATGGAATGCTTAACTTTGGTGCTTTTTAGCTAATGCTGTTACTCTAGGTTAATTTGAATGGTTATCTCAATGTTTTCAAAGCGATGATTGACTTTGGTGCATATTGGCTGAGGATTGTACTCTAGGTTCATTTGATAGCTTATCTCAATGTTTTAATGCGATGGTTGACATTGGTGCTTATTTTACTTCAGGTTCATTTGATCGCTTATCTCAATGTTTTCAAATCGATGATTGACTTTAATGCTTATTAGCTAAGGCTCTTTCTCTATTTCCATTTGATAGATTATCTCAATGTTTTCAAAGCGATGGTTGACTTTGATGCTTATTAGCTAAGCCTCTTAATCTAGGTTCATTTGATAGCTTATCTTAATGTTTTCAGCGCAATTGTTGACTTTGGTGTTTATTGGCCTAAGGCTCATATTCTAAGTTCATTTGATAGCTTATATCAATATTTTGAAAGTGATTGTTGACTTTGTGCTTATTAGCTAAGGCTCTTACTCTAGGTTCATTTGATAGATTATCTCACTGTTTTCAATAGGATGCTTAACTTTGGTGCTTATTAGCTAATGCTGTTACTCTTGGTTAATTTGATAGATTGAATTTGGTGCTTATTGGCTAAGGATTGTACTTTAGGTTCATTTGATAGCTTATCAATGTTGCTTAACTCTGGTGCTTATTGGCTAAGGCTCTTAATCTAGATTCATTTGATAGCTTATCTCAATGTTTTCAAAGCGCTGGTTGAATTTGGTGCTTATCAGCTAAGACTCTTACTCTTGATTCATTTGATTGCTTATCTCAATGTTTTAATGCGATGGTTGACTTTGGTGCTTATTTTCTAACGATTTTACTTCAGGTTTATTTGATCGCTTATCTCAATGTTTTCAAAGCGATGATTCACTTTAGTGCTTATTAGCTAAGGCTCTTTCTCTATTTCCATTTGATAGATTATCTCAAAGTTTTCAACTCGATGGTTGACTTTGGTGCTTATTGGCTAAGGCTCTTACTCTAGGTTCATTAGATAGCTTATCTCAAAGTTTTCAAAGCGATGGTTGACTTTGGTGCTTACTGGCTAAGGCTCTTACTCTAGGTTCATTAGATAGCTTATCTCAAAGTTTTCAAAGCGATGGTTGACTTTGGTGCTTATTGGCTAAGGCTCTTACTCTAGGTTCATTTGTTTCCTTACAACAATGTTTTCAATGTGATGGTTAACTTTAGTGCTTACTGGTTAATTCTCTTACTCTCGGTTCATTTAATTCCTTATTTCAACGTTTTCAACGCGATGGTTGACTTTGGTGCTTATTAGCTAAGCCTCTTAACTCTAGGTTCATTTGATTGCTTATCTCAATGTTTTCAATGTGATGTTTAACGTTGTTGCTAACAGCTTAAGTCTCTTACTCTATGTTCATTTGATTCCTTATCTCAATGTTTTGAAAATGATAGTTGACTGTGGTGCTTCTTTGCTAAGGCTCTTACTCTAGGTTCATTTGATAGTTTATCTTAATGTTTTCAGCGCAGTTGTTGATTTTGGTG